CCAGGAACAGTGTAAACTGTTCGCCTTTTCTGGTCACCGTAGTACGCAATGGCATCCATTTTTTCTTGCTGATTATAGGAGCGAGCGATTGCGAAAATGAAGGACATCGTAATGACGAAGTGGAAGAAGGTTGACCCGGGGTTCCTGAATAGCCTCAGGGCTGCACAGGATCTCATCAGGTGTGTATTTTCTTGTAATCATTTAGCAAGTTGGCCAACGCCGTTGGTCATTGCTTTTTTGGTGAGCTTTTTCGCCGCTGCTTGCTCGTTTCTGAGCTTCCGTAGTGGATAGTATTTTAACAAGCAGATGATTTTGATCAGGTTTTTCGTTGAATCTGCCAAATTTGCTCGTGAGATTGCATGTGCTTGTAACCGAATCCATCTAGGAGGTGAACGAAGGGATGTGCTCGCCTCTCCGTCCTATCACGCTGCACCCAGAAAGGAGCAGGAGGGTGACATCTCTTCGTTATCTGAATTGGGTGCCAAAACAGCTGCTTGATAGTCATTTTCTTTCAGCTTGTGCAAAATTGGAGGGCGATGAAATTCGAGGGTGTTAGAGGTTTACCGACGTGCCATTTTCCGGAGATAGGATGTTCCGCTGAACCGCTTCAACAAATAGCAGATGCACCATCACTTGTTATGAAAGCCATTTGGAGGATGGCGGGACGCCCCCCTTACTGACTAGCTTATGGATCCCGCTAGCCCATCCTCGGGCGTTTGCAGCTCGCTCTCCGAAAAATTACGCGCTAAAAAAATGTTTATGACTGGCAGATGGGTGTGTGGTATCTGATCACTGAACAGTTCGAAAACTACGTGTTAAAATTGCTATTACTGGAGTTGTTATTTGTCCTAACTCGTCACCTTGAATTGCCGTTTAAGCGTATGAAGACGTGTGCATTTCAGCAACGCAATACATCAGAATAGCGACGAGGATGCTGTGGAACATGAGGGAGAAGGAGCTGATGGTAAAGAATTGTTTAAGCCTCCCGAACCTGTCTAGTAGCTGTAACTAGCGAATCTCACAACGGCCACAATTTGATTGATAGTCATTTCCTTTCAGCTTGTGCAAAATTGGTGCAAACTTTCTCAGTTTTTAGATCCAGAAGGCGACTGCACCGCCTCGCATCACGCAAAGCTTAATCAAGCAGCACTGCGAGAAATACGAGATTTGGAGGCTAAGCGCGCATTGATTGAGGCAATGGTAGATCGTATTACCCAGCAGAAGGCAGAAATGGATAAGAAAAACCCGGCCTCGGTACATTTGTTTTTTTTTTTTTTTGCACTGATTGCTTTAAAAATTGTTGATAACAGCAGAAATAGAAACAGGGCATTTTTGGTGGGCCGGAATCCTTGGCACAGGCAGACAGTCTTTTGGCAACCGGTTAAATCTGTTCGAATATTCTGACGACTTCCGGAAATGGATTTTTTAATTTCCTTTTTTTGAAATAGGTCCAAATTTGTAAGTGTACAGTAGATGGTGAAATGGATGGCGGTCTTCGATTGCCCCTTCCCGTTGTGGTCTTTGCCTGACTGAATCCAAAGAGTCTTGCAGGAACATTAGCTG